CCGGCGCGGGGGGAGCCAGCTGGCACCAGCATACAAAGGACACCCCTCAGCACTGGGCAGAGCATGCGTGGGGTGAGACTCACCCCTGGGTCCTTTCCCTTCTGAAAACACTCCTCCGTCTGCCCAGGGAGAGGCGGCCAGTAGATCTGAAATACAAAAGACCTGTCGGAGTGGGAAGGGGGACAACGGGGACCCAGCCTTGCAAATGCACATCCCCAGGCTGCCAGTGACATGAGGATGGAAGGAGGGACAGAGAGAGAGACTGGCAGGGCCCCCAAGGCCACCCTTTTTTCCCACCCAGTGACTCAGGGCAGCATCCCTCGCTCCTTGGGGAGATGCACCCCGGCAGTCCCAGCCCACAGCTGGGCTGGATTTGGGTGGTCATGATGGGGATGGCTGGAGGTGGCCTGGAAGCAGGGGGATTTGTGGGTGGCCTGGGGAAAGTGTGCTGGGGGACAGCAGGAAGCGTTGGAGCCCTCAGTCCCCCACAGCCTTTGGCAGCTCTCAGATTAAGGGCAGATTGGGTACACAAGCCCTTGACCCCATTGCAGTGACCCAGCACACTGAGGGGCACTTAATTTCCTTCTCCACTTTCTTCGGCTAGAAACGGCCTGGAGTCACGTTTAAAAAACATAAAGTCAAAGTGGAGAGGGTGAAGGAGGAGAGGAAGCACCATCCAGCATCTTCACGCTGGTCCATCACCTCTCCCACCAGGGAGCCAGGAGAGGTCTGGAGGCTTTGCCAGCTGAGCCCTGACACAGCTTGTTGCACTCACGGATGCTTATCACACTTTGTCTCTGCAGGCATTCAGCTGAATGTTTGGCCCATTAAGGGGATGCTTAGATGGGGATGGGAAGCACTTGCTCTCCCAGGGGAGAGACTCAGGAATTTTAAGACTCAGGAATTACAGGTGGGCTGCACCACCCGTATCCCAACCACAGCTAATTGCTGTCTAATTGTCCTCCATCCCCCACGGCCAGTCCACCCTTGCCTGACAATACAAGATTTTTGGGATGCATCTCAGGGCATTTGAGGCAAGGACATCCCCAGGGCAGGTTGATTCAGGGTGACTTTGCTTGGCTCATTTGGGCATCTTCTGTTCAGAGGGGCGAGGGTTGCGAGCAGGACCAGGGCAGGCATGTAGGCCCCGGGGTGCTCAGCAGGACCCAACTCACCTCCTTGGTGTCTGTGCTGGCCCCATTCAGGAGCAGGGAGTAGAGCACATCCTTTCCCCCGATGAACAGCCGGTCACGGTACTCATCCAGGTAGAGGGAGCGGAGGCCCAGGAAGCCTCGGTGTCCAAAGAAGACGATGGAGCGGTTGGTGCCCAAAAGCTCTGCCAGGGAAGAAGAGAAGCGTCAACAAGCACAAAGAGAGGCAACACAACCACAGGTGCTGTGCAGCCTCCTAGACGCCTCAAACACTCCTCACAGCCAGCTGTGCAACATGAAAGGATGCTCAGACCCCCACCCCAGTGGCCGCAGCAAGGGGGCCCAGCTTTTTCAGGGAATGACCAGAGTGCGGCAATGGGCGCACAGGCGGGAGGATGCCTTGAGCTATTGCTTCTGAGTACCCTGAAGCCATCCTGGGCGCAGCAGAAGAGCTGCCACAGGCAGCAGCACCCATCTCCATCCCTTCCTGGAGGTGTGAGCGTCCTTGCCTCACCTTGCGCTGGGTGCTGTTCTCCCTCCCAGCCAAGGGCAAAGCTGCAGAGCCAGCAGGCAGCAAGGTCCCAGGTAAGCTTGTCCACAGCCAGCTTGGGCTGAACCAACCCTGGTTCCTAACACAGCCTTCCCTCAGCAAGTCAGGGTGTGCGAGAGCCTAATGAAGGCTGTACCATGCCATCAGCCTGTGCTGGGCTCACACAGAGCCTGGGATGATAGCAAGAGCGAACACGGGTAAGCAGAAAGCAGGTCCTGCACCCCACCCAGGTGCCAGCCAGGGACACAATAGCAGGCACCCAGCCAGTGCCACGGGGAAACCGTCACACAAAGCCTGCTGCTGCCACCAGACCGCACTGTTGCGGCGGCTTCCTCGCCCCGCCACGTCACAGGGACGGCACTTGGGGAGAGGCACTGGCATGGGGACAGTGTCCTTGGGATGGGCATTGCATCCCAAAGCAACAGGGTCTGACATGCTCCCAAAGCAAGTCTGAGCCTGAATCCCATGGGACGCCAAGGGAACCCTCATGCTGATGATGCGGGGGCCATGGAGCAGCTGGTTCCCGGTAGGAAATTACTTTCAAGGTCAGCAAGCCCAAAACCCTGGCATGGTGGCACCAACCCAGATGCCACAGAGGGAAAGTGCAAAGGGGAATGGCTCAGCTTCACTGCACTCTGAAATCCTGTTCCCTCAACCCCAGGCCAGGCTGCCAGGCAGAGGAAGAGGAGGACAAAGCGCCATTGATGAGCACAGCCATGTCCCCAGACACCCTCCCTGGGGCAAGCTGCCAGCCACTGTTGCTGACCCCAGGGCAACACCCCGACGCCGCATCCCAAAGGGAGAGGAGGGGGCCCCAAGACGGCCCCACCTGCCAGTGGCAGCCCAGGCCACTGGGGTACCAAGCCCTCCTCTTGCTGGGCTTTCACCTCCAGTGAGGAGGTGGCCAGCAGCACAATGCCCCCATCCTGGTGGGAAATGCCTCTTATGGGACCTTCGAGGGAGACCAGGTCCATCCCCAGGTGGGGGTGGACATGGCCGCAGCCACCCTATCACACAGAGCTCCCAACCAAGTCACTCAAGGGCAGTCTCAGTGTCCTGACTGGTGATGCTGGCAGCATGGAGGGATACAGCCCTGGCAGCCCCATGCTCACCAGGAAGAACCCTGTGCCTGCAAGCAGAGCTGGCACTGAGACCCCCTCCAGCCCCATTTCCCTAGGTGGGTACCCTCCTGCCCATGCCCTCCAGGCACCATATCGCCAGGCCCAGCCCAGGAAAATGCTGTCGTCTCCTTCTATTCTTGCCCTGCAATAATATTTTCCCAGCTCAGAATAATATTGGCAAAGTTGTCGGGCTCCTCTTATTGTTTCAGGCAAGGCTTCCCCTTCTCCCCCAGCCCTGACAAATTCCTCCTGCACCTCGGGTTACACCAACTAGGCTGCCTTCCCCTTCCCCAACTTCATCACCCCAGGGAGCAGCACCTTACCATGCTTCATTCATCCCTGGGACCCCTTTACCTCTAGGGTGGGGGTCCCATGGGAGACACCCTTCCAAGTGGAGGGGTCCCAAGGGAGAGCTGGGAGGGCACTGGGCTGTGCTGCAATGCTCCCTGTCCACACAGCAGCAAAATGCTCCTTCTCTCTTATACAAACCACTGTTGGAAGTCTAAGCTGAAGGAAAAGAGCAGCTTGAAGCGAGCGCGAGAGCTGGGGACGCAGCCACCCCTGCACCCACAGCACAACACCTTCCCCTATGGCCCCCCCAAACATCACCCTGCAGCCACAGCCATGGCCACGCACAGCCCAGGCCAACGAGCTAAGCATAAGCCACTTCAGTTTGCACAGTTTTCATTTCAGAAGCTTGTAATGGTTCTAATTGAAATTTTCATTTTCTTTTTCTTGCCTCCAGGGAGAAGGCGGTGGCAGGATTTCTTTCATGGGAAATTTCAGTTTCTGTTTCCAATTTGGAAGAGGAACAGAATAATCGGTTTAAGGGAAAAAAAAAAAAAAAAAAAAAAAGAAGAAGCTTCAAAAGGTTGCACAATCCCCACAGGAGGCCAAGGAGCCCACCTGCCCTAGGGAGCCCTTCGCACCTGGCGAACAGCACAGCATGGCCAGACTTCAAGCTGCAGTAGATCAGACCCTGTGCCCCACAACCAAGCTCTGCTGGGACCCCAAACCTTCCACCCCAACCTGACAACATCAGATCCCACTACGGGGCAGAGCCAGATGCCATCCCAGGTGCCTGCCACTTCCCAGGGTAAGCGGGGGCCACTGTGTGCCTCAGTTTCCCCCTTTCAGCAGAGAAGGAGCCCCTGGGGCCAGGTGCTCTGCCCCAGCAGAGAGCAGGGGCTGCAGCCAGCCCTTTCCCAGGGCTGGGGACCCCAACTCAGGCAGCACAAGGGCAGGCAGCAGCTTTCCCCAGCACAGGAACGTGCTCTGCACCTCTCGGGGCTCTCTGAGCCCCCCTCTCTTGGAGGAGAGGGAAAATACGCATTATGCAATTTATTTTATTTATTTATA